CCCCCTGTCCCCCCCTCCCCCATCCCCGCCGCCCCTTCCCCGCGCCCCCTCCAGAGCCCCCCCGGTCGCCCCCAGCCCTCAGGCCCTCACCGGAGCTGCGGCTCATGCGCTTCTCCCACCCCGCGGGCAGCTTCTCCTCCTCCGCCATCTTCCCTTCCCTCTGCCTGCCCACAACGGCCCGCCCACAGCGGCGCGCCGAGGGGCGGGACAAACCCGCCCTTCTCGCGCTCCCATTGGCCATTTGGAAGGCGGCTCCCTTCTCCGCGCAATCCTATTGGTGGAGCCGCCCGTCAATCATGAGCGCGGTGAAGCCGACTAGCGAGCGGGAAAGGACGGACGGTGGCTGCGCTTGGGCAAACTTAACGGGAACGCAAAGGCACAGCGCCGCCTTCCGCCTGCCCGGTTAGGGAGTCCCGGTCCCGGTCCCACGGGAGCCACGAAATAACCGGAGCCTCCAAAAGCAGCTTTGCTATCATGAAATTCAACGCTACAGAAAGAGAGCGGCCGGTTCAAAGCCTCAGCGTGGCGCCGGTTTGGTCACAGCCGGGATGGGAGAGAGAAAAGCAGGCTTGGAGAGGACAACGGGGGACACCGGGAGAACCGGGGAGATTCTGAGGGGACGCGGCAGCCGCTCCTCACCGTTCATCCCCGTCGTGGATCTCATCCGCAGCAGAACTCAGGACAACGCGGGGACAGGTTGATGGATTTTGGGGAGGGGGGCGAAGGGTGCGAAGCCTCCCCCGGGAACTCCGGAGTCATCCCGGGACCCCTCAGGGGCCTCCCGGTGCCTCCAGAACCCCCCCGGTACAACTTCATGGGGGGCTCTGAGGGGTCACTGGGGACAAGGGAGCTGGGAGGGGACAAAGGCACCCAGAGCCACCCCAGTCCCGCCTTTTCCCCGCCTTTTCCCCGCCCTTTCGTTCCCGCTTTTTCCCACCCTCACCTTTTTTTCCCGCCTTTTCTTTCCCCTCAGACTTTTTCCCGCCCCTTCTTTCCCCTCAGACTTCTTTTCCCGCCCTTTTTTTTCCCGCCCTTTTTTCCCGCCCTTTCCCCCGCCCCTCAGGGATGCGGCGCCATTTTGACCCCAAATCCTTTGGAATTTTGGCTGGAATTTGGCCCTGGTGACAAAACCCGCTGACATTCCCAGGTCTCCGTGCCCTCGGAATTGCGGGATTTGTTCCCAAATACAAGGGGTTTTTTTGCATAATTCCCGATTTTTCCCATTTTCCCAGACCCGTTTCTTCCCGTTTTTTGAGGCGGCAGCTCCGGGATTTTGTGGATTTGGTTTGGATTCGAAGGGAGGAGGAAAATCCATGAAAATTCCCCAAAAATCCCCCCAAAAGTCACCAAAATCCCCAAAAGCAAAATAAAAATTCCCCAAATTCCACAAAAAAAGCCTCAAAGTCCGTTAAAACTCCACAAAAATCCTCTCGAATCCACAAAAATCCACAAAAATCCACAAAAAATTCCACAAAATTGGAAAAAAAACAAAAAAAAAGTTCTCGTGATCTAAAAATAACCCAGGAAGAGCCAAAAAATCTGTAAAAATCCTTTAAAATTCCACTAAAAGTTTGTTAAAAATCCATGAAAATCACACAAAAATCTACGGAAATTCCCCCCAGAAATCCCTAAAAAATAAAAACAAATTAAAACAGAAAAATATCCCTGAAAATGCCCAAAAATCCTTGGGTGAGAGGCAAAAAAAAACCCCACCTGGAATTCTCTGGGATTGGCCTCAATCCAAGCCCCAAAATTCACAGGATCCAACCCCGAAAATTCCTCGGATTAAATTTTAACCCTCTGGAGGGGGAGGGGGAGCCGGAACATTCTCGGGATCATTCCCGGATTTCTCCCGTGGTCCCTGATCCCGAAAATCCCAAGAAATCCCGGGATGGACGAGCAGGAGCTCCAGGACGACCTGCGCGTGTTCCCAGGTGGAATTCCCGGATTTTTCCTGCTTTTCCGAGGGTTTTTCCTTCTCTCTTCCTCCCCTGATCAGGGCAGTTGGATATTCCCAAAAATTCCGCTCCCGGGAGCTTCAAATTCCTGGAAATCCCGGGAATTCCCAAGAGAGTTCCAGAATTAATCAGGAAATCATTTTTAAAAATAATTCCCTAAGTAATTCCTCATTAATTCCCAAAATAATTCCCGAAATAATCGTTGGAACAAACCATCCCAAATAAAATAATCCTGGAATTAATTCCTGAAAGAACCCCGGTAAAAGGAGCCCAAATCCCGGGAATTCTCCCCCAAATTTTCCCCTCCTGGAGCCGAATTCCGACATTCCCGGTTATTGATGAATCCCGGGATAAGCGGAGCGGGAAAAGCTGTGGGGAAATCCTGGGAAGAGCAGGGGGGGATTTTCCTTGGATTTTCTCTGCATTTTTCCAGGATTTCCCTTTGATTTCTCCTGGAATTCCTTTAATTTCCCTGCAATTTCTTTGGATTACTCCTGGATCTCCTGGGTTTTTCCGAATTTTCCCCATTTTTTCCCTGATTTTTTTCTGTTTTATTCTCTCTTTTCTCCATTTATCCCCCTATTTTTTCCCATTTTTCCCCCATTTCATCCCATTTTTCCAATTTTCCCCCCATTTCCCCCCACTTTTCCCCATTTTCCCCCCATTTAATCCCATTTTTCCCCCACTTTCCCCATCTTCCCTTCATTTAATCCCATTTCCCCCCATTTTTCCACCATTTTTTCCCATTTCCCCCCATTTTTCCCCCACTTTTCCCATTTTCCCCCACCTTTCCCCATTTCCCCCCATTTTTTCCCGTTTTCCCCCCATTTTTCCCCATTTTTTCCCACTTTTCCCCACTTTTCCCCATTTTCCCCCCATTTCATCCCATTTAATCCCATTTTCCCCCCACTTTTCCCCATTTTCCCGCTGTTTTTCCCCATTTTATCCCATTTTCCCCACTTTTCCCCCCATTTTCCCCACTTTTCCCCCCATTTTCCCCATTCCCACCCCGTTTTATCCCGGATTTTCCCGTCATTCCAGGCCGTTCCGTGCTCCCTCCGCCGCTCCGTTCCTTCCCGGCCGTGTACCTGGCCCTGGCTCTCAGCTCCCTGCTCCTGCTGCTCCTCAGCGCCCTGGCGCTCGCCAGAGGTGGGAAAACCCCCCCAAAATTCCCCAAAAAATTCCCAAAATTCCCAAAAAATCCCCCCCAAAGTCCCCAAAACCCTCAAAATTCCCCAAAATCCTCAAAATTCCCCAGAATTCCCGGCACTGGAACTCCCCTTTCTTCCCCCAAATCCCCCAGCGAGCCCCAAAATCCGGCTCCGTTCCCATCCCTGAATCCCCCCAATTCCAGCCTGAATTCCCAAAGCTTGGAATTCCTGGAATGCCCCAATTCCCAAAGCTTGGAATTCCTGGAATTCCCCAATTCCAGGCCCAAATCCCAAAGCTTGGAATGCCCAGAATTCCTGGAATTCCTCAATTCCACCCTGAATTCCCCAATTCCCTAACTCCGGAATCCCCCAATTCCAGCCTGAATTCCCAAAGCTTGGAATGCCCGGAATTCCCCAATTCCCAAAGCTTGGAATTCCCAGAATTCCGCCCTGAATTCCCCAGTTCCTGAACTCTGGAATTCCTGGAATTCCCTCTTTCCATCCCAAATCCCAGAATTCCCCGAATTCCCAAACCCTGGAATTCCCCCCCCCCCAATTATCAACCCCTGGAATTCCAGGAGTTCCCAGAATTCCCTCCCAAATCCCAGAATTCCCCAATTCCCTCATTCCCAAATCCCCGGAATTCGGGAATTCCCAGACCCCAAAATTCCCTGAATTCCCAAATCCGAGCTCTAAACCCAGAATTCCAAATCTTTTTGGGAATTTTTCCCTCTTTTTTTCCCCAGTTTCCTCCATTTCCTCCCAACTCCAGCAGGAGCTGCCGGGGTGGAATTTTTCCGACCGGGATTCCTTCCGTAAGTCCCGAAATTCCCCAAATTTTTCCCTTTTCCCTCCGGATATTCCCAAATTCCCAAACCCCCGGGGGATTTCGGGGGGAGAAAATTCCCAAATCCCAAAAATCTGGGCCGGTTTTGGGATAGAAAAATCCCAAATTTGGGGCACTTTGGGGGCAAAAATTCCAAATTCCCAACATTTGGGTCCATTTTTCCCAAAGAACCCCAAAATTCCCAACATTTGGATCCATTTCTTTGGGAACAACCCCAAAATTCCCAACATTCCCACCCATTTCTCCAGGAAAAACCCCAAAATTCCCAATATTCCCACCCATTTTCCCCAAAATTCCCAACATTTGGATCCATTTCTTTGGGAATAACCCCAAAAACCCCCAAAATTCCCAACATTTGTCCCCAAAATTCCCAACATTTGT